CAAATGCAAGGAAAAAAAGGCAAATTATAAAATAAATAATGATTAATTCATTTAAATATCTTTTCAAACAAAACATTGATATTAATGACGATAAAAAAACGATTTAATAAAAAGGAAAAAAGGAAAGAAACACACAAACAAAACAATATATAAAATAATGATAAAAATGGCAATATGATTGTAAAAATGTATAGTTTTAGCAACACATGCTTTACAGTATATACATCTTGAAATGTAAGTATGAAATAAAAAAAGGAAAAAAAATACACATAAAAGTTCAGACAAATGCAAATGGAGAGAAAAAGTGTAATTTTGAACATCGAAATGTATAAAAAATGTAAAATAATATACATAATAATGAAAATAGTGAATGAAATGTGTGTGTGAGTGTGTGTGTGTGTGTGTGTGTGTGTGTGTGAGTCTGTATGGTGTGTGTGTGTGTGTGTGTGTCTGTATGGTGTGTGTGTGTGTCTCTCTGTGTGTGTGTGTCTCTCTATGTGTGTGTGTGTGTGTACCTGAGCCAGTGTGCGGTGTTGCTCGGTGAATCCGTGGTTCCCGCTGCTGGACCTCCTGATGAGGGGCGTGTCCTCGGGGCGCCGCAGCAGGGAGTCATGGCGACTCATGGTAACGGCTGCTGAGCGGCGGCGGCGCTCGGGGCTGTTGTCGAGGGGAGGGGTCATCACCTGACCCAGGGGGGGGGGTCATCACCTGACACACAAATACATATTTTTCTTGTAAACCCGATATTCTCATGTGCAAATAAACATGAATATTTTCTGTGATTAAAGCAACATTTTACTATAAAAAAACCTTCTTAATTGAGTGGTGCAGGAATGAGTCCTAAAACCCAGAAGAGAGTTAGCATTTCACCACCTCCTGTTCCCTCGTCTCAGAGCCAACGGGATTTTTGAACTAGGTTTAGGATAATAGCTATAAATAAGGTCTGTGGTTGAGACACATTGAAGAGACGGATCACGTTTTGACCCCACTGGTGATTTCTGAAGAGTTGACGTGTCTGAAAAACGATGGTTGTTACCAAGTGGCTGAATAGGACTACAGAAGTTGTCGAGGCCGTTGTACGTCAATACGCCGAACACGTAAACACTCCTCTAAGTTAGTTTGCCCTGAGAGGTTCCAGGTTGTTGTGTTTGCATAAAGCATATTTGTCCACTCATATGTTGATAAGAGTATTAAAAACTTGAAAAATATTCCTCTAAGGTGCATTTAGAACAGATACAAAATGTGCGATTCATTTGCGATTAAATATTTGAATCGACTGACAGCCCTATATGTTATATATTTATAGAGGGGGTGGGGGGGGGGGGTGGGGTCCTCACCTGTCCGCGGCCCAGCAGCAGTTCTCGGGGGCTGAAGTGACCCGTCGTCACCGGGGGGGAACCGCGGTCCATCATCACCCCACCTCCGGTACCATGGCAATCAGAGGACGCAGACCGAGGGGGGCGCCGGAACAATCCGTCCGTACGCCTTCCGGCGGTGACTGAAACAGGAAGTAGAAACAAACCTGTGAGGGAAACAGGAAGTAGAAACAACTGTGAGGGAACAGGAAGTAGAAACAACTGTGAGGGAACAGGAAGTAGAAACAAACTGTGAGGGAACAGGAAGTAGAAACAAACTGTGAGGGAACAGGAAGTAGAAACAAACTGTGAGGGAACAGGAAGTAGAAACAAACTGTGAGGGAACAGGAAGTAGAAACAAACTGTGAGGGAAACAGGAAGTCTCTCAGGGTGATTAATGGAGACATCACAGGTTAGTTACAACAATCAGAATGATCTCAATGTAGGGATAACACTCAGACACAAACCTGATAATAAACCTAGTCTTAACTTTTAAGGAATTCTCTGAGATTCTTAGAATATCTTTCCATCTTTTCCCCATAGAATAAGGATAATAGAGAATATCAAGTTAAACAATGTTGTAAAACTCATATATTCCTAATATTATCCCATTTCCAAAGGTTTCTTTCTCACACACACTCCCTTTATTCTGCTTCCACACCTCTCCTCCTCAGACTTCCTGCATGTGAGAGAGGTGTGTTTCATCTCCGGAGGATCAGAGTGCTAACAGCGTGATGAACACTCAGGTATTTTTAGAGGTGACAGCAGAGGTGTTTATATTCTCTCTCTGAGAGATAAGATGAGATGAGATGAGATGGACCTTCAGTAGTTTAACAGCAACAGGGTGAGAATGAAAAACAGGACAGAACAGATTAGAGATTAATACAATTAAAGAGAAAATCAAAGATAAAAATAGTATTATATACAGGTAAGTAACTTTAAAAGGAATGAAAATGAACATATATACATATTAGATATATTTACATGTATGTGTGAAAACCAGAGGTGGGAAGTAGTGGAGTACAAATACTTCGTTACTGTACTTAAGTACATTTTTCTGGTATCAGTACTTTACTCCACTACTTATTTTTCGACGACTTTTTACTTTGACTTCTTACATGTTGAACACAAATACCTGTACTTTCTACTTCTTACATGTTGAACACAAATACCTGTACTTTCTACTTCTTACATGTTGAACCCAAATACCTGTACTTTCTACTTCTTACATGTTGAACACAAATACCTGTACTTTCTACTTCTTACATGTTGAACACAAATACCTGTACTTTCTACTTCTTACATGTTGAACCCAAATACCTGAACTTTCTACTTCTTACATTTTGAACTCAAATACCTGTACTTTCTACTTCTTACATTTTGAACTCAAATACCTGTACTTTCTACTTCTTACATGTTGAACACAAATACCTGTACTTTCTACTTCTTACATGTTGAACACAAATACCTGTACTTTCTACTTCTTACATGTTGAACACAAATACCTGAACTTTCTACTTCTCACATGTTGAACACAAATACCTGTACTTTCTACTTCTTACATGTTGAACACAAATACCTGTACTTTCTACTTCTTACATGTTGAACACAAATACCTGTACTTTCTACTTCTTACATGTTGAACTCAAATACCTGTACTTTCTACTTCTTACATGTTGAACCACAAATACCTGTACTTTCTACTTCTTACATGTTGAACTCAAATACCTGTACTTTCTACTTCTTACATGTTGAACTCAAATACCTGTACTTTCTACTTCTTACATGTTGAACACTAATACCTGTACTTTCTACTTCTTACATGTTGAACACTAATACCTGTACTTTCTACTTCTTACATGTTGAACTCAAATACCTGTACTTTCTACTTCTTACATGTTGAACACAAATACCTGTACTTTCTACTTCTTACATGTTGAACACAAATACCTGTACTTTTCTACTTCTTACATGTTGAACACAAATACCTGTACTTTCTACTTCTTAATTTTGAACACAAATACCTGTACTTTCTACTTCTTACATGTTGAACACAAATACCTGTACTTTCTACTTCTTACATGTTGAACACAAATACCTGTACTTTCTACTTCTTACATGTTGAACACAAATACCTGTACTTTCTACTTCTTACATGTTGAACACAAATACCTGTACTTTCTACTTCTCACATGTTGAACACAAATACCTGTACTTTCTACTTCTTACATGTTGAACTCAAATACCTGTACTTTCTACTTCTCACATTTTCCAAACAGGCTGGTTCCTTTAGTTTGAATGTGTGTTTGGTGGCGTGATCATTATTATTTAGAGTCATTGCGTGCCTATTGATTTGAACACGATCCGTGTATCCATCATTTCCTGGTCTTCTCTAAAGAAGAGGGACCAATGAAAACGTTGTCATGTTGCCGTTGTTCAGCATGGAAACATTCATTAGCTAACAATGACATTATTGTTCTATTAATATAAAGGGAGGTCAGGTACTCTTTAAAACAGCTGCTAGCTATGGGTACTTTTTACTGAAGTACATTTCAAAGCCCTCTTTACTTTGACTTGAGTAAAGAAGTTTAGTCAGTACTTCTACTTTCACCAGAGTATTTTTAAACACGAGTATATGTACTTCTACTTGAGTAAAGGATGTGTGTACTTGTGTATTTCATGTTGGAGTGTGTGTTACATGCTGACCTGTTGTAGGTGTCGGGGGGGCGCGGGTCGGTGGGGGAGCTCAGCTCGCTGCGGGACCTCTTGTCATCGCTGCTGTCACTGTCCGCCTTCTGGCTCAGAGACTCGGACATCACCTCGTTCCTGCAGAGAGGGAGAGGGAGAGGGAGAGGGAGAGGGAGAGGGAGAGGGAGAGGGAGAGGGGCTCCATCAGGACTAACATCGGGAAAACTGTCGGATAACGGATCGATACGGAGCGCAGAGAGACTTCCTGTCCGGTGTAACGGTGATCTATAAGCAGCGTCCTGCATCCATCAGTGACTCTGACTGAAGGCTGATCACTGCTTAGAGAGGGGGATTACAGCGCTCTATGATGTTAAATAATGTCATAAAAAGGTCATTATAGAAACAAAACTGTCTAAGTCGTTTTTTTACGAGCAACTTAATGCAACTGGATTTACTAAATACTAAATGAACCCACACTGTATGTAAAATATTTCAAAATAAAAGCACAGTTAGATTGAATTTAAAACACATATATATTTAAAAAAAATTGATTTCCAAATAAAAGCACATTTAGATTTAATTAAATAAAAAAAATATTATATTTTAAAAAAGAGATTTCAAAATAAAAGCACAGCATATCATATCATATCAGTATATCATTTTTTTGTTAATGTATTTCAAAATAAGAGCACATTTACATTCAATAAAACGTTTTTTTTTTTTATATTTAAAAAAATTGGGATTTCAAAATAAAAGGAGTTTAGAAATGTAGATTGAATAAAAAGAAAAAACCCCAAATGTATATATTTTTTTAATGGATTTCAAAATAAGAGTCTGCTGAGCACTCGCCTGTCCTTCAGCACGATGTACTGGTGCGGCACGAGGCCCCGGCTGCCGTTGCTCCGCCCCTCCCACCAGTCATGTGATGCGCGCTGGAACAGCTGCAGCGACGCCCCCTTTTTAAAGGAGAGTTCACGAACCGACCGACCCACGTAGTCGAACCTCGCCACCGCCTCCACGCCTTCACCCTCTATAGGGGGGGGGGGGAGGGGGAAGAGAGGAGGGAGGGGGGGAGATGAAGAGAAGAGCCACCTGTCAATCAAACGTCTCTAAGGCTTTTGTTCCTCCCCATTGCTACACCAATCAGATAACAGTATTGAAACAGTATTTTTCTATTAAATCGGAAACAGATAAGATAGATGAGAAGGGAAGGGAGGCAGGATGAAAGAGGGGGGGGGAGGAGAAGTCTCCATGGCTGCTGTTGCCGTAGCAACCTCTCTCCAGCAGGGACACACACATCACACACACACACACACACACACACACACACACACACACACAGGGGGGGGGAGTGTGTGGGAGGATGTTGTGAAGGTCAGAGGTCGGCGTACCCTCGTCGCTGGTCTGAGTCTCGGTGCCTCCGTCAGGCTCTGCTTCCTCCAGAGCTCCTGGTTCACTGAAGGGACTCTCACTGAGGAAGAGGAGGAGGAGGAGGAGGAGGAGGAATAAGAAGAGGAAGAATCAGATGAACACAGGATCCGAAATGGAGGATGCACAGATGGAAGAAAAGGCTGCCAATGAAGCGTTTGGACAGCAGAACATGATTGTAGATTAACACTCTAAATACATTTCTAACTAAAACCAAAACCGCTGAAGAAAGACTAGTAACATTTCCCAATCTTTCAAAATGTCAAGCAAAACATTTCTATAATCTTGGGAGTGTTGTTTCTTAAATTAAAGGGTTCATATTCTGAATAATGTTCAAAAAGCTCTTTATTTTTCTCATGCTGCAGCACCTCTTTTCACCCTCTGTCTGAAACCAGAGCCCAGTCTGCTCTGATTGGTTAGCTGGCCGGCTCTGTTGTGATTGGTCAACCAGAGGCCTGTACTACGAAGCTGGTTCAACTTAACCTGGATATGTTGGAGTTAGCCGGTTGGCCCAATCCAAAACATACGCGCTTTGGCTAAACTGTACTACGACGCCGGTTATCAAGTGGATCGCTCAAGCCAGCCGTGTCCTATCTAGTTAGGTGCGCGTTCACATGAAAGGGGTGGTATTTGGAGCATTCGACCAATCTCAAACACGGACAAGCGTACTGACAGCGCAGCGTCATACTTCCTGAATGAAAAGTGAACTTTAATATTAGTCAAATATGAAGAAGTTAAACTTTAAACATCCATGACTTAAACACTTTATCCAGGATCAAAGCCACATAGCTGCACCTGCAAGGTGAATACAGCTGGTAAAAGAAAAAGTGTTTGAATGCGTACATTAACAGGTTTATGAAATCACTGCCCCGTCCAAGACACGAGTGGATCTGACTTTAATTACATTTGACTCGAGTGTTTCGTCAACTTAATGTGTTGCTTAAAATAATACTTCTGCATACAGTATGTGACACTGTGAGTGTTGCACGGCCAGATACGGCTCAAGAAGCTGACTCAGATAAGGAAATATATGATACATTATGATGTGATATGATATGAATGATAATGGGACACATCGACGTCTGCACTCACAGTGCCGCGGACTGTACTTAATGTTACTCTGATCCGGTTACTTATGTTGTGGCAGATATTTAAGTAAGCTTTCTTAACGCTAATGTTATAATAGTCAGATTGCTCTGAAGATGGGAGGGGATATTCTATTCATTTTCACGTTCAGACAGTCAGTTGATTTTTGCCGGCTGTCTTTCCTGCAACGGCAGTTTTTCTGTATTTCCTCTATCCTGTAATATGACTTGATCGCTTTAAACTCCGCACACGGAGCTCTGATTGGTCAGCAGGCGGTGCTTTCACTGAGTTGATCTCTTAGCCTGCCACCTAACCTGCTCCGGAGCAGGTTAGCCGCTCAGCATAAGTTACCATGGAAATCTAGCCCGCTAAAAAGAGAACCAGCATCGTAGGACCGGAAAGCCCGAGATTTCCCTGAATTTAGCCGGCTAAGCGAAAATCCAGCTTCGTAGTACAGGCCTCAGCTTAGAGATGTCCCGCCCCTTAGCCTATCACCTACAATGTGTTGGAGCGCTAGCCAATAGGAGCACGAGTGTTCCAAAGTGATGACACTGTGTTCCGGAACTTTGGGATTTTAGCCTTTTTCAGACCATTTACATGCACTAAAAACCTATATAACACACTACAAGGAAGGGGAAAACACCCCAAAAAACAGAATAGGGCCCCTTTAAGTAAAGTGTTCTGATTGGTCCCCTCACACCCCAAAAAACAGAATAGGGCCCCTTTAAGTGAAGTGTTCTGATTGGTCCTCTTTAATTAAAGTGTTCTGATTGGTCCTCTTTAAGTGAAGCGTTCTGATTGGTCCCCTCACCAGTACTGGTCCCCTGTCATGCACTTCTCGTAGACGGGCCCCGGCAGCTCCTTGGTGTCGGGGAAGATGTTGTCATGGTTGAGGATGACCGTCTTGATGACCTCATTAACGTGCGCCTGGCAGGCCACCTGGTCCAGGGCGTCGGGGGTGGGCAGCAGCGTCGGCCCGAACACGATGGCCAAGTTCCCAGAATCCATCATGTTCTCATCGCTGTACTGGGACAGACTGGGAGAAACATCGGGGAAATAAGTTCACTTTGAAAAGCTTTTTTTACACTTGGTTGTTTTCTGCTCACTTGTTGTTATTATCTAGACTAAAACCTCCAAACTTTCAAAATCTATGACGTGAAGCTCATAGATCGGAGTGTGTTTCATCAGAGTGTGAGTTTCATCAGAGTGTGAGTTTCATCAGAGTGTGAGTTTCATCAGAGTGTGAGTTTCATCAGAGTGTGTGTTTCATCAGAGTGTGAGTTTCATCAGAGTGTGAGTTTCATCAGAGTGTGTGTTTCATCAGAGTGTGAGTTTCATCAGAGTGTGTGTTTCATCAGAGTGTGTGTTTCATCAGAGTGTGAGTTTCATCAGAGTGTGAGTTTCATCAGAGTGTGAGTTTCATCAGAGTGTGTGTTTCATCAGAGTGTGAGTTTCATCAGAGTGTGTGTTTCATCAGAGTGTGAGTTTTATCAGAGTGTGAGTTTCATCAGAGTGTGAGTTTCATCAGAGAGTGTGTTTCATCAGAGTGTGTGTTTCATCAGAGTGTGTGTTTCATCAGAGTGTGTGTTTCATCGGAGTGTGTGTTTCATCAGAGTGTGTGTTTCATCAGAGTGTGAGTTTCATCAGAGTGTGAGTTTCATCAGAGTGTGAGTTTCATCAGTGTGTGTTTCATCAGAGTGTGTGTTTCATCAGAGTGTGAGTTTCATCAGAGAGTGAGTTTCATCGGAGTGTGAGTTTCATCAGAGTGTGTGTTTCATCAGAGTGTGTGTTTCATCAGAGTGTGTGTTTCATCAGAGTGTGTGTTTCATCAGAGTGTGAGTTTCATCAGAGTGTGAGTTTCATCAGAGTGTGTGTTTCATCAGAGAGTGAGTTTCATCAGAGTGTGAGTTTCATCAGAGTGTGTGTTTCATCAGAGTGTGAGTTTCATCAGAGAGTGAGTTTCATCAGAGTGTGTGTTTCATCAGAGTGTGTGTTTCATCGGAGTGTGAGTTTCATCAGAGTGTGTGTTTCATCAGAGTGTGAGTTTCATCAGAGTGTGTGTTTCATCAGAGTGTGTGTTTCATCAGAGTGTGAGTTTCATCAGAGAGTGAGTTTCATCAGAGTGTGTGTTTCATCAGAGTGTGTGTTTCATCAGAGTGTGAGTTTCATCAGAGTGTGAGTTTCATCAGAGTGTGTGTTTCATCAGAGTGTGTGTTTCATCGGAGTGTGAGTTTCATCAGAGTGTGTGTTTCATCAGAGTGTGAGTTTCATCAGAGTGTGTGTTTCATCAGAGTGTGTGTTTCATCAGTGTGTGTTTCATCAGAGTGTGAGTTTCATCAGAGAGTGAGTTTCATCAGAGTGTGTGTTTCATCAGAGTGTGAGTTTCATCAGAGTGTGAGTTTCATCAGAGTGTGTGTTTCATCAGAGAGTGAGTTTCATCAGAGTGTGAGTTTCATCAGAGTGTGTGTTTCATCAGAGTGTGAGTTTCATCAGAGAGTGAGTTTCATCAGAGTGTGTGTTTCATCAGAGTGTGTGTTTCATCGGAGTGTGAGTTTCATCAGAGTGTGTGTTTCATCAGAGTGTGAGTTTCATCAGAGTGTGTGTTTCATCAGAGTGTGTGTTTCATCAGAGTGTGTGTTTCATCAGAGTGTGAGTTTCATCAGAGAGTGAGTTTCATCAGAGTGTGTGTTTCATCAGAGTGTGTGTTTCATCAGAGTGTGAGTTTCATCAGAGTGTGAGTTTCATCAGAGTGTGAGTTTCATCAGAGTGTGAGTTTCATCAGAGTGTGTGTTTCATCAGAGTGTGAGTTTCATCAGAGTGTGTGTTTCATCAGAGAGTGAGTTTCATCAGAGTGTGAGTTTCATCAGAGTGTGAGTTTCATCAGAGTGTGAGTTTCATCAGAGTTTCATCAGAGTGTGAGTTTCATCAGAGTGTGTACTGACTGGTTGAGGAAGGCGAACAGGTATCTCATCACGATCAGAGTGGCCCTCGGGACGCCCAGCAGGATCTTACGGACACACTGAGCCCTCTCATACATGTTCTCTATTCCTGAAACACACACCAAAGAGCAGAGAGACGTCAACAACACAACAACACATTCGCAGAAATAAACAACAACATGTGAAACATCTCTGCTGAGGAGGAGACGCTGCAGAGAAGCAACGACAAAGAGTACGCTGAAGATAGAAGAGATGCATGCGGTATTTACATGAAATACAATTATATAACTAAAAACGGGGGAACAACGGAGCTGATCCAGATTTGCGTCCGATATGACGTAATATCTGAAATGTGGACCCACGGCCCAATCAGAAACGTTGCTATCAGAAACAATGCCTGACTGTTTTGGACGTAATATGGTCGGTGTTTACATTAGCATCGCTAACACTCAGAGCTAACCTGTACTGGAGAGCATGTGTGTGAAGAAGCAGGAAATAAAAAGGAACTCACCTTGTGGTATAACCGGCAAGAGAGAAAGCCTTTGAGCTCCATACTGTTTCAGAAACAATCCTTGATAATCCATGATATGGCGTTTCATCACGGCAGTATTTAGTTTAGACAGTAGCTGCCGGGTCCCGCTTGAGCTCAGACCCTCTTTTTTTATTTTTAGCAATTTTTTATTTTTGAAAGCTTTATACATAAAATCAGCACTTTTGAAACAGGAAGTGAAATAGAGGGATATGAGGCATGGCTAGAATGGGTGCTCTGTTTGGTATTTTGAGCAAAGCACATGTTTTTTATATATTTGTATATATCTGAGACCTATGCTATTGCCTAAAAATAGCATGATAGGTGACCTTTAAATAATGTGTCTCTGTGAGTGTTAGAGAGACGAGGGACTCACGGACGCAGGACAGCAGGTCATTGAACCTCTCTTTGGGGAACAGAGGGTTCTCTAAACCTCTGAAGTAAAGCTTCAACACCCCGGCCACAGAGTTGATGTCGTGGTTACTCTCCTCGTCGATCAGAGGGTCGTTTCCTTCAATGACAAACACACACAGAGAGAGAGAGGGAGAGTTAAACACTTCCTGGAGCTGTGGAGGAAATTCAAAGAATCAAAGAATCAAAGAATCAAAGTCAACTTTCAGTGTTACAGAGAGATCGAAATACCGTTGCCCCCAATCCCGAATACAAAAACAAATAACAACCTAACAGAGTAAAAGCCAATCAGAGTATAAGACTATATGTTTTAAATGATTATATGATGACAGGCTCACCTCTCTCGAAGGAGTTCTTGATGTCGTTCACCTCGACCTGGGACCCCGACACCCGGAATATTCCCTGATGCTGCAGACCTGAGGGAACAAAGACAAGTTTATAATGTTATTTATTCTATTTTCTTATTTATTTGTACTGATCACAGGGCTTTCAGGGCTCTGCAGGGTTCTTCTGTTTGCATTTTGCTAATTATTTATCTAATATAGCACTATTTGTATTTACTTGCACATCTCAAAACATTCTCTTGCACTATTTTATCTGTTTTATTTGTCCTATATATATTCATGTTGACTTCAGTTTTCCATTGCCATATATACACTGTAGCTAATGTGCACATGACATTAAAGCCTTGAATCTTCAACAAATCACTTTTAAGAACGTTTTAATACCAATTCAAATTCAATTTAATAGCTGTTTTACAACCATCCCAATAATAATATAATGTTTATTAAATAGCACCTTTTAAAAACATACATTACAAAGAGTTTCCACGAAGAAAAATAAAAGCAGAATCCAATATAATTGCAAGAAACGAGGAAAAAACTGAATTACATTTTAAAATAATTGTAAAAGTGAATTTAAAAAAGTGTGTTCTTAATAATAATGAATAATATTCAAGGTATGAAAGTGTGAAACTAACCACAAGGTAAAATAACACATCAATAGTCTCAATAATCCCATGGTATTAAAGGGACAGTGAACGCACCGTGCAGGTTGATGTAACGGATGCAGCTCTCCACAAGCAAGGGTATGGCTTTAGTTGAATCCTGAAAACACATCAACAACAACAACAGTTAGTTATTGTTTACACTTCAATTGTTTATTTTGGATCTGATGTTCTTATCGACTCTTGTTTCTGACATGTTCTATCCTAAATCACTGAGACACGCCCCTCTTTCCCTGCACACGTTAAAACATCTACGACATTTATTTACATTTTCCTTAAAGTTTGAAATGCTTTGAGTTCCTAGAAAGATTTACATTTTGAATTGTTTATTTCTATCTTCAATGGCTTGTCTTTTTATGCTGCTGCGACGCAAACATTTCCCAAATTGGGATCAATAAAGTACTTTTAGTATCTTTTATCTTTTTAAAAAACATCTCTCAAATATATAGAATTATATATAAATCCCTCTATAAGTACGCACGTCTCATCTCATGCCATCTTGTGGGTGTTTTTCACAGTATTGATGTATAACATGTCTAATATATGTCATATAATTAGGGTTGGGTATCGTTTGGATTTTAACGATTCCGGTTCTGATGCCGGTTCTGCTTTTCGATTCCGGTTCTTTTCGGTTCTCCATTCCGGTTCTTTGAGAGGGTAAAAAGAAGTCCCATGACAATTTCACTGGGAGAAAAATATATTTATGAAAACATTAAGTCAAATCTGTATTCCTATTTACAAATCACTTCATACTGTTTAATTGTGTTGCGGTTATTGAATACAATTATATTAAAATAATCTCTGCATTGTTTAGTTAGTTCTAAGTGGTGCAGATGGAGAATGTACAATTAGCCCAGTCTCCTCTGACGTTACACTGCAACCTGCCTGTGGGACAGAGTCCAACCACACATGTCCAACACATGTCCTGCAACACACATGCTGCAGCTGCCCTGCTGCTCACTGTTTGTAAAAGTACATCAATTGTATTTTCATTTAAATAATGTATTTTCTATACCCTGCTTCATAAACAATACTGACATCCCTGTGCTCCTCTCTCCGAGCGGCGAGATGCATTTCCTTAGGAATCGATAAGCAGAACCGAAACTAACATTTCTAAACGATACCGATGGAATTGAAATGTTGGAACCGGATTTCGGTACCCAACCCTACACGTAACGTAAAGCACAAATAAATGCCATTAATAATTATTACCTTTATATCAGAGTATCTGCAGCTCTTATGGAGACCCTGTGGTTTAATGTGGACCTTAAAAGAGGAAAAGACCCCCTGATGACCCCAAACACACAGAATAAAGGAGAGTCTACCTGATGCTTGCTATGGGAGTTCTTCCGCCCACGACTGAAACAATCAGAGAGAGAGACAGAGTGAGAAATGGACGAACAATTTGTATTAATATGAAATATATGAAAATACAGCATGACAGCATACCTGGTGGTGAGCAGCTCAGCTTTATATCCTGCAGGAGAAACACAGGTAAAGAGTTAAGGGGATTCATGTCTGTATTATTATTACATCTAACGAGGAAGAGGAGGGTCTCACCTTCGGCTAAAGCTTTCTTCAGGATGTCGTGTTTGGCCTGCAGCTTGGAGATCAGATTGCTTCCCTCCAGATACTCGCGGAATTTCTGAGGATTTCAAAAGTAGATTCTCTCTTAGTTAAGGTACAGTTTAAGTGTTTCTCACGGTGAAGTAGAAGAGCTCCGTCTCCTGCTGGTTAGTGTCTCTCTTAGTTAAGGTACAGTTTAAGTCTTATACTAAGTGTTTCTCACGGTGAAGTAGAAGAGCTCCGTCTCCTGCTGGTTCGTTTCTCTCTTAGTTAAGGTACAGTTTAAGTGTTTCTCACAGTGAAGTAGAAGAGCTCCGTCTCCTGCTGGTTAGTTTCTCTCTTAGTTAAGGTACAGTTTAAGTGTTTCTCACAGTGAAGTAGAAGAGCTCCGTCTCCTGCTGGTTAGTTTCTCTCTTAGTTAAGGTACAGTTTAAGTGTTTCTCACATGAAGTAGAAGAGCTCCGTCTCCTGCTGGTTAGTTTCTCTCTTAGTTAAGGTACAGTTTAAGTGTTTCTCACAGTGAAGTAGAAGAGCTCCGTCTCCTTGCTGGTTAGTTTCTCTCTTAGTTAAGGTACAGTTTAAGTGTTTCTCACAGTGAAGTAGAAGAGCTCCGTCTCCTGCTGGTTAGTTTCTCTCTTAGTTAAGGTACAGTTTAAGTGTTTCTCACAGTGAAGTAGAAGAGCTCCGTCTCCTGCTGGTTAGTTTCTCTCTTAGTTAAGGTACAGTTTAAGTGTTTCTCACAGTGAAGTAGAAGAGCTCCGTCTCCTGCTGGTTAGTTTCTCTCTTAGTTAAGGTACGGTTAAGTGTTTCTCACAGTGAAGTAGAAGAGCTCCGTCTCCTGCTGGTTAGTTTCTCTCTTAGTTAAGGTACAGTTTAAGTGTTTCTCACAGTGAAGTAGAAGAGCTCCGTCTCCTGCTGGTTAGTTTCTCTCTTAGTTAAGGTACAGTTTAAGTGTTTCTCACAGTGAAGTAGAAGAGCTCCGTCTCCTGCTGGTTAGTTTCTCTCTTAGTTAAGGTACAGTTTAAGTGTTTCTCACAGTGAAGTAGAAGAGCTCCGTCTCCTGCTGGTTAGTTTCTCTCTTAGTTAAGGTACAGTTTAAGTGTTTCTCACAGTGAAGTAGAAGAGCTCCGTCTCCTGCTGGTTAGTTTCTCTCTTAGTTAAGGTACAGTTTAAGTGTTTCTCACATGAAGTAGAAGAGCTCCGTCTCCTGCTGGTTAGTTTCTCTCTTAGTTAAGGTACAGTTTAAGTGTTTCTCACAGTGAAGTAGAAGAGCTCCGTCTCCTGCTGGTTAGTTTCTCTCTTAGTTAAGGTACAGTTTAAGTGTTTCTCACAGTGAAGTAGAAGAGCTCCGTCTCCTGCTGGTTAGTTTCTCTCTTAGTTAAGGTACAGTTTAAGTGTTTCTCACAGTGAAGTAGAAGAGCTCCGTCTCCTGCTGGTTGGTTCTCTCTTAGTTAAGGTACAGTTTAAGTGTTTCTCACAGTGAAGTAGAAGAGCTCCGTCTCCTGCTGGTTAGTTTCTCTCTTAGTTAAGGTACAGTTTAAGTGTTTCTCACAGTGAAGTAGAAGAGCTCCGTCTCCTGCTGGTTAGTTTCTCTCTTAGTTAAGGTACAGTTTAAGTGTTTCTCACAGTGAAGTAGAAGAGCTCCGTCTCCTGCTGGTTAGTTTCTCTCTTAGTTAAGGTACAGTTTAAGTGTTTCTCACGGTGAAGTAGAAGAGCTCCGTCTCCTGCTGGTTGGCTCTCTTCTTGGCGAGGCTCGGTTTGTTCAGATATCCGTCCGACACGCTGGACTTCACGGACTCAGAGGACGGGCTGTGAGTGAAGCTCTGAGAAACATCGAAGTCCTCGAGAACCGTCATGTCCTGCAGAGTGGAGAGGGTCGCCCCCCACGTCTTCTTCACCTGGTTAAAAGATAAGGGTTCAAACATTGAATGCACCAATGAGCAGAGATGGTAGAAGTACACACATCCTTTCCTCAAGTAGAAGTACAGATACTCGTGTTTAAAAATACTCTGGTGAAAGTAGAAGTACTGACTAAACTTCTTTACTCAAGTAAAGTAAAGAGGGCTTTGAAATGTCCTTCAGTAAAAAGTACCCATAACTAGCAGCTGTTTTAAAGAGTACCTGACCTCCCTTTATATTAATAGAACAATAATGTCATTGTTAGCTAATGAATGTTTCCATGCTGAACAACGGCAACATGACAACGTTTTCATTGGTCCCTCTTCTTTAGAGAAGACCAGGAAATGATGGATACACGGATCGTGTTCAAATCAATAGGCACGCAATGACTCTAAATAATAATGATCACGCCACCAAACACACATTCAAACTAAAGGAACCAGCCTGTTTGGAAATGTGAGAAGTAGAAAGTACAGGTATTTGTGTTCAACATGTAAGAAGTAGAAAGTACAGGTATTTGGGTTCAACATGTAAGAAGTAGAAAGTACAGGTATTTGAGTTCAACATGTAAGAAGTAGAAAGTACAGGTATTTGTGTTCAACATGTAAGAAGTAGAAAGTACAGGTATTTGTGTTCAACATGTAAGAAGTAGAAAGTACAGGTATTTGGGTTCAACATGTAAGAAGTAGAAAGTACAGGTATTTGTGTTCAACATGTAAGAAGTAGAAAGTACAGGTATTTGTGTTCAAAATGTAAGAAGTAGAAAGTACAGGTATTTGTGTTCAAGAAGAATTTCATTGCCATTTCTACACTGGAGCTTATGTTCATATGACAATAAAACTTATGAATTGAATTTTGAGTAGAAGAAAGGTGGCTTTTAGCCCTAATGCTGTATTAAAGGACGACTAAACTCTGCACTGAGCTTCTTGCTTCAGGAGGTATGCATTATGAATTAAATTCACGGTGGAGTTTCATTTTGCATAACCTTTGATGGTGTGTGTGTGTGTGTGTGTTTATGCCTGCTACATATGCAAAGTGTGTTTGTATTTACAGCGAGGATAATGGGTGTAAAAGAGCTTCTATTTGTACATGATAAGCAGGGTGTGTGTGTGTGTGTGTGTGTGTGTGTGTGTGTGTGTGTGTTTTGCTGAGGCGTGCAGATGCTGCTCATTAATCCAGACTCCTTCAGTATTTCTATAACCTTCAGGCTGAGTTAGCAGCTGCACACAAACACACACACACACACACACACACAAACACACACACACACACACACCACACCACACACACACACACACACACACACACTCACACACACACACACACACACACACACACACACACACCTACATTATTACCCATTATAACAGTATAAATTACCATGACTGTGCAGAGTTTTTAAATGTCAGATTAACATTTTATTTTGTAATCAGCGAGGGTTTTTAGCTTCTACAATGTCTTTGTTTAACACTAAGGGGACATACAGCCCAAAAAAATTAAATGTATTATTATTTGTAATATATACAGCGGTTGCTAACAAGTGTAAATGAACGCCCAACATTAGACACCTTTAGCTTAGCGGTGGTGACGTGAAGTCATGTGACCGTGCTGTAGTTCCTTTATAGCCCAACAGCTGAACAAAGGACTCCAACATCCCTGCACCATTCTACATCTGTATCATTTGGTGTGTTTGTGTGTGTGTGTGTGTGTGTGTGTGTGTGTGTGTGTGTGTGTGTGTGTGTGTGTGTGTGTGTGTGTGTGTGTGTGTGTGTGTGTGTGTGTGTGTGTACCTCTTCGTTCTCGATCTTCAGGGAGGCGAGGCGTGTCTGCAGCTGAGTGAGACGCAGCGTGAGCTCGGCCTGCAGCTGAGGCTGGGAGGCGATCTGGGTCACCTGACAGGAAGTGAAACAAGCAGGACATTAATCACCAGAGAAAATACAATATATTGATATCTATTGATATGTGTTGTAAGATGAATAATATAGTGCAATAACACTTATTATGCTTATTATTATCATCACTTATTATTATTAACACTCACTTATTATGCTATATTAGAACAATATATTATAGGGCCATATCTATAAAAAACATGTCTCTGAAGTGTTTTGCTCAAAATACCAAACAGATCATTCTAGCCTCAAACCAATCTATTTCAGCTGTTACTAAAGTGCTGATTCTGGGTACGTAGCTCTGGGGCCACGCCCCCTTTGAGCTACTGACTGCAGAGAGAGAGAAGCAGAAACTTAGCTAAATGCTGCCGTGATGAAACGCCATCATGTTCCAAACCACATCAAGGATTCTCTCTGAAACAGTATGGAGCTCAAAGGCTTTCTCTCTTGCCGGTTATACCACAAGGTGAGTTCCTTTTTATTTCCTGCTTCTTCACACACATGCTCTCCAGTACAGGTTAGCTCTGAGTGTTAGCCATGCTAATGTCAACACCGACCATATTACGTCCAAAACAGTCGGGCATTGTTTCTGATAACAACGTTTCTGATAGGCCTGTGGGTCCACCACGTGGGTGCCATCCGATATGACGTAAATTACGTCATATCGGACGCAAATCTAGATCAGCTCGTTGTTCCCCCGTTTTTAGAGATTTGGGTACGGAGGAAAAGAGAGAGGGTTTTATTTCCTGACGCTGCGTGAGTTCCCTGACACACCGGGAACACATGTTTATGTATAAAAGACATCAAAAAGTGCATTTTGCATGATAGGTCCCCTTTAAGTGACGTTTTTGTATCTGGATACCAATTTATAAAAACTAGTTTCTAATAAAGTAAAGTGTGATACTGACTGCGTCTCCCATGTGTGACTGGAAGCTGAATCGTGCGGGGGGACAGAAGGCGGTGGGGTAGAGGCCCAGCAGACGCTGCCGGTCCCGGGCTGGATCCAGACCCTCCACCGCCCCCTCCAGAACCTCCAGGCCCGCCCGCCTCGAGGCCTCCAGGCTCAGCTCTGCAGACAGGTATGTCCTCAGGGCCCGGCTCAGACTGGAGTGGTACCCTAGGTCACAGCACTGAGGAAACACAACCAGAACCAATCATATTTAGTTCAGTTAAAGTAAGGTCACAGCACTGGGGAGAAGAACCAGAACCAATCATATTTGGTTCAGTTAAAGTAAGGTCACAGCACTGGGGAGAAGAACCAGAACCAATCATATTTGGTTCAGTTAAAGTAAGCTCACAGCACTGGGAAACACAACCAGAACCCTTTAAATATACACATAATATACATTTCACTTTATTTATCCCCTAGGTCACAGCACTGACTTATTGGCTTATTTTGAAGGTGAGTGATGATGAACAAATTACTAAACTGCCAGTGCCTCGAGCTAATTGGCTAAAAGACAATAACAATTATAGTTAAAGTAGGCTACTAGCTAATGGATAAGTTAGCTGAAGGTTTAGCTAAGGTAATTTATCATGGGCATACAGGCTAATGTACTGAATTTAAGGGGAGACACTTAAGGTGAATACAGTAAAATGTGTATCTAATAACGTCATCACAATCGCCACATTGATATGCAGATTAGGCGTTAACTAGCTTTAATTAAAATGCGCTAATTTGCATGCAGTTACCGAGGCATTGCAGGTGAAAAGGATAGAACAACAAAACACATCACCTCAACTTCCCAGATAGTTACTTACGTCAAGTCAGTGTTTTCCCCTGAAATGTTATGTTTAAATGCAGATTAGCTTTAAACCTATAGATTAATTCAGACATAATAAAACGAACACCATTTATATGTTTCTTGGAAGTTTTATTTCCATTAGAGTGAAAGAAAACATGGAAGCAAAATAGACCAAAATAACTAAATGTATAGTACATGAAAAAACTGTAATGTCCTTAAACAGTAACTTCATAATTTTGATTGTTGGCTGCTCATTTAATAACTATTAATTGTACTAGTTTGTTGTCTGCTCTTGTGCGTAGCTGTAGTGAATACTAAAGAAGACCATTGTCTCTGTGTTAGCTGATTATTTTGTAGAATTCTGTTGAGTATTAAACACTTGCGTGAGTGTGAGGGTATTCAAATACATTGGTCAGTAAGTCAGAGATGTGCAACTATATTTAACTTTTCGTTTTAAATTTTCTTTTTATAAATGATTATGGGAAGTGGCCTTTTTCTCACTTGAGCACCCGCCCCCCAAAATGTCTGTGCACGTCCCTGTGCCTGAATGCTATAAATGCCTTTTATTCCTGCAGAGAATCATCGCAGCGTGAAAGAAGGTTTGTCGAAGGAGAAGGAACAGTTTCTACTTTCTGCTCCAGCGACTTCAAACAGGACATTTAATTAAACTTTAATAGATCCTTTTTGAGTCCTTTAGGACAGCATTTGAACTTGTGACGGTGTTCCCGTTTCCTCTGCTCCATGAATGAATAAAATAAAGAGCGTCTCACGTCGATGATGTCTGGCAGGTCGTGGATGTAGTATTTGAAGACGGAGGCGTTGGTGGCCTCGAGAGTCAGAAGATACTCGTTCCTCGCCTTCAGAGTCTTCAGTTTGTTCTCAGAGTACTTCGCCTTCCTCTGGGGGAGAAACAAACACACATTATCAGCAAAAAGGAAACATTAACCAGCTGAAAGAAAGATGAACTGTCAGTTCCCCGTCTCACTTGAATCAGGGATATAGTTTATATATTGTATTTAAATAATAAATATAGTATAGAAAAGTACAAATGTGAATTAATGTTAAAATGAAATGTCTCAGTGTTTAACGATTGTTTCCTCCGTTGCAGTGAAACATGGCTGCCGTTCAGATAATTAACCGTCCCTACCTTCTCCCTCATCTTCTCCATCTTGCGGGCGGCGTTGCGTCTCTGATGGCGCTCCTCGATCCTGAGTCCGAACACAGGCTCCGCCCCCCCGGACCCCCCCGCCCCCTTCACGCGGCCCTCCTGACGCTCCGCCTCCCGCAGCTTGGTCTCCGCACTGATCGTCTCCACGTGGTACATGTGGTACGTCTTCATCACCTGGGAACATAAGGACATTATAACTACATTAGTAACATCACGTCGTTAGTTCATCAAATTAAGGGACATCTTTTCCCAGAAATATTCGCAAATGTTGATTATTCTTTTTTTTTTGGCCCCATCAAAATGTTTTGGATTGATACAGTATCTAAGAAATTAATGTAATGATAATAATATGTAACATGCTTGTTTAAAATTGAAATAACTATGTTTATATACTAGGGATGGGAACGATTAATCGAATATTCAAAATTATTCAGGTATTCGAATATGAGAATATGAGTTATGAATATTTTTATTGTAATTCTTTTTCTTTTTTGGGAGGGGTGCCTAAGTTGATTACATATGATCAAATGGAATAATTCAATGTATACGACAGTGCCATAGCTAAGTGTGTTAGGTCTAAAGGTGTGTTTTGCTCCGCTCACCGGCCCCTCACAGCGGGCAGAGCTGCAGGTGCTGATCTCTCTCTCTCGTGTCCGGTTATACTTCACTCGCGTTTATGTCCAAATCCATCAGATCTAGCTAGTTCTAGCTAATGATATGTCTGCAGCCCCTCCCTACACGCAGATCACGCAGACTCAAACCTCATCTTATGCCCACATTCCAGCTGAGAGGGTCTTCTCTACAGCTGGCCTGATTGTGAATCGCCTCCGCACCCGCCTCTCCCCTGACACATGCTCATATTCTTAAACAAGAATGAGTATTGAATAGCTGCATTCTGTGCATAGGCCCAGAGGTTGTTGATCTCTGTTGTGATAGGGTCACGTTACCCTAACCCGTGATGTTGTTCCTGTATGATCCCTCTTTCATTTAAAAACCACGTTATGTTTTAAGCATGAAAGCTGTAGGCCTATAGCTGTCAACTGTTCAAACTGTGATCACCAGTTCAATACATTTGACTAATTCGACTTGGTTTCTATACTTATTTGGACATGTATTTATTTATTTTTCAAATTTTTATTTTTTTTTGTCAACATTTTTCCCACATTTTCTTTTTTTTATAGGATATGTACATTTCGGTTAATCGGTTAACCTTTTTTTTTTGGGGTCGAATATTCGAATATACATTTGCTTTCAAATTCCCATCCCTATTATATACACATAAGAAGTTAAACTAAATATTGCAATAAAAACGATAAAAAGTAGATTAAATTGTAAATTGTGTTTAATGATTTTTAGGGTTTAACGATACTTTTTAAAAACATTTTTAAACATGTTTCCTGTTTCCATCTCATCGGCAACGGCAGCCCATAATAACTCAGCCTCTCAGAGACATGCACTGGAAACATGTTTTTATTCTTCAAGGTGAACAGACCCGCTGAGTGTCTGAGGAAGAGCTTTCAGACCTTAACATCTTAGGTTTGTCGAGAAAACAACAACAACAACAACAAATGTGTTTAGACTTGTTAAAGACCAGAGGCCTGTACTACGACGCTGGTTCAACCTAACCTGGATATGTTTGAGTTAGCCGGTTGGCCCAATCCAAAACATACGCGCTCTGGCTAAGCTGTACTACGACGCTGGTTATCAAGTGGATCGCTCAAGCCAGCCGTGTCCTATCTAGTTAGGTGCGCGTTCACATGAAAGGGGTGGTATTTGGAGCATTCGACCAATCTCAAACATGGACAAGCGTACTGACAGCGCAGCGTCATACTTCCTGAATGAAAAGTGAACTTTAATATTAGTCAAATATGAAGAAGTTAAACTTTAAACATCCATGACTTAAACACTTTATCCAGGATCAAAGCCACATAGCTGCACCTGCAAGGTGAATACAGCTGGTAACAGAGAAAGTGTTTGAATGCGTACATTAACAGGTTTATGAAATCACTGCCCCGTCCAAGACACGATCTGACTTTAATTACATTTGACTCGAGTGTTTCATCAACTTAATGTGTTGCTTAAAATAATACTTCTGCATACAGTATGTGACACTGTGAGTGTTGCACGGCCAGATACGGCTCAGCTGACTCAGATAAGGAAATATATGATACATTATGATGTGATATGATATGAATGATAATGGGACACATCGACTTCTGCACTCACAGTGCCGCGGACTGTACTTAATGTTACTCTGATCCGGTTACTTATGTCATGGCAGATATTTAAGTAAGCTTTCTTAACGCTAATGTTATAATAGTCAGATTGCTCTGAAGATGGGAGGGGATATTCTATTCATTTTCACGTTCACACAGTCAGTTGATTTTGGCCGGCCGTCTTTCCTGCAACGGCAGTTTTTCTGTATTTCCTCTATCCTGTCATATGAATTGATCGCTTTAAACTCCGCACACGGAGCTCTGATTGGTCAGCAGGCGGTGCTTTCACTGAGTTGATCTCTTAGCCTGCAACCTAACCTCCTCCTGAGGAGGTTAGCCGCTCAGCATAAGTTACCATGGAGATCTAGCCCGCTAAAAAGAGAACCAGCGTCGTAGGACCGGAAAGCCCGAGTTTTCCCTGAAGTCAGCCGGCTAAGAGAAAATCCGGCTTCGTAGTACAGGCCTCTGATGTAAGGACATTAGGAATGTGATCCGTGTGTTGAATCTACTCACGGTGTAAAGCTCGTTGAGAAGCTTCATGAGGTCTTCCTGCAGCTGGAAGATGATCTCCTTACTCTGAAAGAAGAGGGGAAATACATTATTAAAGAGGCACTATTGTGTTATCTGTCCTGTAGTGTGTTCTATACAGTAGGTTTTAAATGGTCTGTGAAGGGTAACATCGAAAATTGCCGGAAAATAGCATCAATGTGTAACACTCGCGCGACAACAAATACTGATATGAACCTGAACATCAGCAGGAGAGGACTCTTTAAAGTAGAGACACTACATACTGATATACACCTGAACATCAGCAGGAGAGGACTCTTTAAAGTAGAGACACTACATACTGATATACACCTGAACATCAGCAGGAGAGGACTCTTTAAAGTAGAGACACTACATACTGATATACACCTGAACATCAGCAGGAGAGGACTCTTTAAAGTAGAGACACTACATACTGATATACACCTGAACATCAGCAGGAGAGGACTCTTTAAAGTACAGACACTACATACTGATATACACCTGAACATCAGCAGGAGAGGACTCTTTAAAGTAGAGACACTACATTCTGATATACACCTGAACATCAGCAGGAGAGGACTCTTTAAAGTAGAGACACTACATACTGATATACACCTGAACATCAGCAGGAGAGGACTCTTTAAAGTAGAGACACTACATACTGATATACACCTGAACATCAGCAGGAGAGGACTTTTTAAAGTAGAGACACTACATACTGATATACACCTGAACATCAGCAGGAGAGGACTCTTTAAAGTAGAGACACTACATACTGATATACACCTGAACATCAGCAGGAGAGGACTCTTTAAAGTAGAGACACTACATACTGATATACACCTGAACATCAGCAGGAGAGGACTCTTTAAAGTAGAGACACTACATACTGATATACACCTGAACATCAGCAGGAGAGGACTCTTTAAAGTAGAGACACTACATACTGATATACACCTGAACATCAGCAGGAGAGGACTCTTTAAAGTAGAGACACTACATACTGATATACACCTGAACATCAGCAGGAGAGGACTCTTTAAAGTAGAGACACTACATACTGACAAAATAATGCCTCCATAAAGAATCAGTTCAATCTCAGAGCTTCGCCCCCTGCTTTAAACAGCTCTCAGTATTAATATTACATTATGATAAAACGACTATGATTCCCATCCCTCGTTCCCATGGCGCCCGCTGAGAATCAGCTGAGCCCGTCGCCATGGCCACAGGGCTGTCGCCGTTGTCATGGCGTCTCCTCCTTAGCGCAGTGTGTGTGTGTGTGATGGAGGTCTTTCCGTTTATAGCCGCTGCACTTTAGTCGGGATGAATAAAAAACGAGCCGGAGGAACGATTAATAATGAACGCAGAGAGCTAAAGTTAGAGTGTGTGTGTGTGTGTGTGTGTGTGTGTGTGTGTGTGTGTGTGTGTGGTGTGTGTGTGTGTGTGTATGTGTATGTGTGTGTGTGTGTGTGTGTGTGTGTGTGTGTGTGTGTGTGTGTGTGTGTGTGTGTGTGTGTGTGTGTGTGTGTGTGTGTGTGTGTGTGTGTGTGTGTTAAACTCTGACGAGGCAGCAGAGAAAACCCCAGGGGAAAACAGACTTTACTTTTCATTAAAATCAACGAGTACTTCAAATAAAAAGCCTCCAGCTCAGCAACACTAAAGTGCTTTCACTTTACTTGGGTATTTTTACTGTCAAATGATCATATAATCATTTAAATCATATATATAGATTATGTCTTATACTCTGATTGCCTTTTACTCGGTTAAATAGTAGTTTTAGTTCATTAATCATTTATCAGTTTCTCTTAAGGGAATTTGAATTTCCTCCACACGTTTATTTAAGATACTTATCACATTAAGATTTCACACACAAAACATGTAATTAATTTTAAAGATATCGTAATGTTTCCATCTTAAACAACCATACATATATATGAAGTTGTGTGAGCTCATTATCAAGGTATTATTACATGGCTTAGTTGAATACTCGATTCTGATTGGTCAATTCAGAACACGTGACACGTTGTTAATCCAGTAGTACAGACCGCTGTCAAGGATTTATTGACCGTTGTTAAGGACGCTCACATCTGCACAAAGAAGTCCGGTCGATTTAACTGAATAACTGACAAGACAAGAGCGACAAGCAAACAGCGGAGAAGTAACGGGGCAGAAACCCTCCTTTTTACGCAGCGGTCCAGACATAGACATCAAACGGCAAAACATATTCAGTTGCCAGTGACTTTGGCATTAGGGCAGGGATATCTAGATCCTTCCCAAGGTTTGACATAATGAATTGTGCTACTTTTAAAGCAAGCAACGATGTTTTCAAATCTGTAATCAAAAAGCTCCGCCTTCCTGCCGTTGCTACGTATTTCAAACGGTAACAACGGACTATTTTTCTTAGCGGATGCATGTCAATTTAAATCAACTATTTTTTAAAGGGGACCTATCATGCAAAATGCACTTTTGTACGTCTTTTATACATGAATATGTGTCCCCGGTGTTCCAGGGAACTCACCAAGTGTCAGAAAACACAACCCTCTCTATTTTCCTCCATACCCAAATCTCTAAAAAAGGGGCTGCAACGGATCTGATAAAAACTGATCCAGATTTGAACACTGTCCTGACGTCAGGACAGTGGCGCTACGGCTATTGGGCCAACTCCACCAATCAGGAGGAGACAGACACGGCCATTGCCGTTCGAAAGCGCTGGAGACGCTGTAGTACATATGCCAGGCCTGTAGATGGTGCTGTTCTCACAGAATCTGCCCTTGCTAAAACAGAGCTATAAATTGTCAAATTGAGCAAAATGAGGCATGGCTAAAATGCATGATCTGTTTGGTATTTTGAAAAAAAAAAGTATAAATATGCCTTATATACTGTAGGTATGGTCCTACACTATATTATTCAAATATAGCATGATAGGTCCACTTTAAATCAATAAAAACATTTTCTAAATCCATAAAAGCGTCGGGATCCTGATCAGCCTATCGGGTGTTCTTTTACCGCCTCGCTGCACATTAACCCTTACATATTCAACATTAAAAAACAGTAATAATAAGACATAAGGTTTTGAGGACATCATTCTATATATAAATGTGTGATTTAAGGACATTTCTTATTTCTCGAACATATTTTAGTCGACGTGTTCGTTAGTTTTCGGGAACATTTTAAATACATTGATTCATACATTTTTAAAAGAGTAATTCCACATTATTTCACTTCCGATTTTTTGTATAAATCCAGCCGTTAAAGAAGCCTTTAAATCTGCATTAAAGTAGATTTTGCTGACACTTCCATACTTACAGATAAGACCTTTATATATGGAAGTAGCAGGACTTTTACCATTAATGAAGTGTTTTTATAGTGCAGTATTCCTACTACTTCTTCCACTTGAATCCACCACCATGTCCCTTATGATCTGTAATAAAAGCCCTGCAATATGATATTAATGAAACACGTATTTTCCTCCATATTGTACGGTAAACTTCAGGATTTATAACCTTTTCTCTCCCTCTTTCTGCACAGTCATGGTTCGCGCCCGACTGCACATCCATCACTGCGACAGATTTAAAGCCTCTGAGGGGAATTATGGGATTCCTACAGGAACATATATATCGATTTACGGTAAAACGTTTCGGTTATATCGCCAATAAAACACCTTAATTAAGGTTTATTACAGAGGAGCCGTGTCAGAGGATGAAACACCCGGAGACTAAGTGCTACAGACGAAAAAAAAAAGCCGTAAAACCCACAAAATGCTCGTAAAAGTATGAATTGCTTCCTCTGAAGACGTGAATCGTGAAAAGAAGATGGCATATATATAGTTTCATGGTCAAAAAAGGCTCAGTCATTTCTTAAAACGGCTCGCTGGGGTTTTCAAATCACACAAGAGGAACATGTTTGGGGAGTTTTATCAGACGGTGTGTGTGTGTGTGTGTGTGTGTGTGTGTGTGTGTGTGTGTGTGTGTGTGTGTGTGTGTGTGTGTGTTTGTGTGTATGTGTGTGCGTGTGTGTGAACTTTCCCAACGGAGATCAATAAAGGTTTATCTTATCTCATGTACACACTTATATTAGTGGGATGTTCCCTTCATCAGCCAGGAGAGACTACTGGGATATTTAATGCATGTAAGCGTTGGTAGTGATGTGTGTGTGTGTGTGTGTGTGTGTGTGTGTGTGTGTGTGTGTGTGTGTGTGTGTGTGTGTGTGTGTGTGTGTGTGTGTGTGTGTGTGTGTGGCTCGGAGGAATAAAGGTGTGTGTGCTGACCCTCTTGAGCAGGCGCGCTGAATCCTCGCTGATGTGTGTGAGGCGGGAGATGACGTTGTTCAGGTAGAGGTCGCTCAGGGTGGCGTGGTCCTTACTCTCCCTCCTCACCTGGGGGGGAGAGAGAGAGAGAGAGAGAGAGAGAGAGAGAGAGAGAGAGAGAGAGAGAGAGAGAGAGAGAATTATCTCTGGTGTTTCTCATCTCTGTGGTTATTAAAGAGTCTCTGAACACAGCGGTTCTGACCTGGTTCAGCAGCAGGTACCAGCAGTTCACCGGAGAGAGCAGGTTCTGGTCCTTCCTGGAAGCACAAATACAGACAATCATTTTAAAATAATGTTTCATTTTATTTTTGTTAATAGAAACAAATATTTTTGGTTCATATCATTTTGTTTTTTAAATACAATTTATTTAACACATTTTTTTATTTTTTTTATTAATGCAATTTTATTTTAATATAATTTAAATGTTCTTTTTGTACATATCATTTTGCTTTTATATGTGTATTTGTATATTTGAATTACAATAATTACAATATAATGACTAAATATTACATAAATTCAAGCAAACACACGTGATGTATGTGCCTTTGTATGTGTTGTTGTTGTTGTTGTTTATGCCTACTTGTACTGCTGATGGTCCTTGGTGCTGCGAGTCTTGGCCATGAACCTCTCGGCCAGTTTCTCCAGGTTTCTGGAATATTCCGTCTCGATCTCTGACTTTTTCCTGAAGAAATCCTGAAGATCCTGAAGCAGCTGAACGCGCATCTCCGTCTGCTGCTCGAGACACCGCTGCTGCTCCACCAGCTGCAGACGCCTCATCTAACACACACACACACACACACACCACACACACACCACACACACACACAACTACACACACACACACACACACACACACACACACACACACACCACACACACACCCACCACACTACACACTACCACACACACACACACACACAGACACACACACACACACCACACACACACACACACACACAACACACACACACACACACACCACACACATACACCACACACACACACACACACACACATTACACACACACACACACACACACACACACCACACACACACACACACACACAGGGAAAAAGTACACACATCCTTTACTCAAGTAGAAGTACAGATACTCGTGTTTAAAAATACAAGTAGAAGTACTGACTAAACTTCTTTACTCAAGTAAAAGTAAAGAGGGCTTTGAAATGTACTTCAGTAAAAAGTACCCATAACTAGCAGCTGTTTTAAAGAGTACCTGACCTCCCTTTATATTAATAGAACAATAATGTCATTGTTAGCTAATGAATGTTTCCATGCTGAACAACGGCAACATGACAACGTTTTCATTGGTCCCTCTTCTTTAGAGAAGACCTGAGGCCTGTACTACGAAGCTGGATTTTCTCTTAGCCGGCTGACTTCAGGGAAATCTCGGGCTTTCCGGTCCTACGACGCTGGTTCTCTTTTTAGCGGGCTAGATCTCCATGGTAACTTATGCTGAGCGGCTAACCTCCTCGGGAGCAGGTTAGGTTGCAGGCTAAGAGATCAACTCAGTGAAAGCACCGCCTGCTGACCAATCAGAGCTCCGTGTGCGGAGTTTAAAGCGATCAATTCATATTACAGGATAGAGGAAATACAGAAAAACTGCCGTTGCAGGAAAGACGGCCGGCAAAAATCAACTGACTGTTTGAACGTGAAAATGAATAGAATATCCCCTCCCATCTTCAGAGCAATCTGACTATTATAACATTAGCGTTAAGAAAGCTTACTTAAATATCTGCCACGACATAAGTAACCGGATCAGAGTAACATTAAGTACAGTCCGCGGCACTGTGAGTGCAGACGTCGATGTGTCCCATTATCATTCATATCATATCACATCATAATGTATCATATATTTCCTTATCTGAGTCAGCTGAGCCGTATCTGGCCGTGCAACACTCACAGTGTCACATACTGTATGCAGAAGTATTATTTTAAGCAACACATTAAGTTGACGAAACACTCGAGTCAAATGTAATTAAAGTCAGATCGTGTCTTAGACGGGGCAGTGATTTCATAAACCTGTTAATGTACGCATTCAAACACTTTTTCTTTTACCAGCTGTATTCACCTTGCAGGTGCAGCTATGTGGCTTTGATCCTGGATAAAGTGTTTAAGTCATGGATGTTTAAAGTTTAACTTCTTCATATTTGACTAATATTAAAGTTCACTTTTCATTCAGGAAGTATGACGCTGCGCTGTCAGTACGCTTGTCCGTGTTTGAGATTGGGCGAATGCTCCAGATACCACCCCTTTCATGTGAACGCGCACCTAACTAGATAGGACACGGCTTGGCTTGAGCGATCCACTTGATATACCAGCGTCGTAGTACAGTTTAGCGAGAAGCGCGTATGTTTTGGATTGGGCCAACCGGCTAACTCAAACATATCCAGGTTAGGAAAAATCCGGCTTCGTAGTACAGGCCTCAGGAAAATGATGGATACACGGATCGTGTTCAAATCAATAGGCACGCAATGACTCTAAATAATTAATGATCACGCCACCAAACACACATTCAAACTAAGGAACCAGGCCTGTTTGGGAGGAAATGTAAGAAGTAGAAAAGTACAGGTATTTGTGTTCAACATGTAAGAAGTCAAAGTAAAAAGTCGTCAGAAAAATAAGTAGTGGAGTAAAGTACTGATACCAGAAACATGTACTTAAGTACAGTCACGAAGTATTTGTACTCCACTACTTCCCACCTCTGCGCACGTTACAGCACGTTGCCCATAAACTACATGTCCCACAATGCATCTCATTTTGTGACATGCGCACTGAAGAGACTTCTGCTTTCAGACGTAGTTAATTATGAAGCTATTACCCTATCAGATAATAATCCAATGCAGAGGCAATAATGTAATATCATACATTATTTTATGTATATTTTATATAGTCTTAAAGTGCAACCGGCCCTTTGAATGCAACAATAATGCTGATGTGGCCCGCGATGAAATTGAGTTTGACCCCCCTGATTTAGACAGTTTGTTTATCCGTAGTGGAACATTTGTATTTAACTTCACCTCCTCAAAATGGCTGATCATCTATTCTTGCTTTGTGTGAATTTCACCCGTTTGGTTTCTTCCTGACCTTGAAATGTGTCTTTCCAGCTGTGAGGGATTATACATGATGTTGCAGAGGTTCATTTAAAAGACGCAGCGCACACTGAGTCATTATGTACTGCGTTCAGATGAGGAGAGATCTCAGAAACACGTCTGAGTTTAGGATTCGATCAACAATACTTGCAGCAAATGAGCAGCAATAATGAGCATACATGTAAATATACTAAGTTTAACCACCTGGTAGTCGGGCGTTCAAATGAGGCAATGTTTTGTAGACGTTAAGATGGGAACGCACGTCTCAGACACACATCAGTTATGTACATTTTAATACACATTTTCAGCCACTTTTGGGTGATTTTATCAAACACAGCAAACTAGTGGATGTGCAGCTTGACTGAATGATTGTTAACATGTAAATAAACCCTTTTAATTGATCGGTCTTCAGTCAGTAAACATGTTTAAACACGTTATCTATGACTGAATATAAGTGGTTTTAACATCAACATCTTCCTCCTCGCGTTAAATAGATGTTTCTGTGATTATTTAAAGATCTTAAGGACTCATATGGTGATAAATCTGCAGCCTGTGATTTGAAAAGGGCCGTGTCATAGCACATTAAACATTAATGTCTCCTGTGATTGCCTTCAATAAATCACATGTACATGACGTCACGCTGCAGAACAACCAAACACACGTAATGTAAATCACAGCAGCTCATTCATCATGGTATCATGACCTCATCAGTTTAAAAGAACAGTGTCTCATGTGGGAGGCGTGTGGCGCAGTGGGTTGTGCGTTGGTGTTCGGATCAGGGGGTCACAGGTTCAAACCCCACTGCAGTCAGCATGTCGTTGTGTCCCTGAGACACTTCACCCCAAATTGCTCCTGTGGGGATTGTCCACAGGACTGAATGTAAGTCGCTTTGGATAAAAGCGTCTAACATGTAGGGTTGCAAAATTCTGGGAATTTTCAAAGATGGAAACTTTCCATGGGAATAAACTGGGAATTTTCTAAATTGAAGGTTGGCTCTTCATAGGGAACTTAAATATAGTTGGGGAAAGTATATTTTAGCATAATCTTGACTAAAACAAACAGATGCCATTCAAGTACACTTGAATATCCATGCCATAGCACACTGCTTACTGCATGGCTATTGAGACCACACCCCCTACAGCAGGGGTGTCAAACTCAATTTCATCGCGGGCCACATTAGAATGATGGTTGCACTCAAAGGGCCGGTTGTAACTTTAAGACTATATAAATATACATAGATAAATATATATAATATATATAAAATAATGTATTATTTTACAATATTTCCTCTGCATTGGATTATTATCGGATACTTTCAAATTCTAGCGCACTCGATCTGGTTTCTCCATTCTTACCTACCCTACCTTTAACTGTGACATGTTTCCATGCTTTAATGTTCAAGTGTGTGGGAGAGAAACTCTCTCTGGAGGGAACATTTAATATATATATGAAATAATGTATTATATTATTGACTCTGCATTGGATTATTATTGGATAGGGTAATAACTTCATAATTAACTACGTCTGAAAGCAGAAGTCTAGGGCAAATAATTGCAAGTCTCTTCTGTGCGCATCTCACAAAATGAGATGCATTGTGGGACATGTAGTTTATGGGCAACGTGCTTCTGTAAAGCAGCACGTAACCTTATAATAAACTTATTATATTCTTTGTAAGCTCTTGTGGGGCCACATAAAATGAAGTGGCGGGCCGGATTTGGCCCCCGGGCCTTGAGTTTGACACCCCTGCCCTACAGGCACTGTGCATTCCTCCATCACATGCACAGATGAGTAATATTTAACTCAACATTCCTGTTTTCGTTCTTCAATGAAACAAATAATTGTTCAATAAAATAATTAAAACTTGTAAAAAAAAAAAATAATTTAAATAAAAAAATCTGTTGAAATGTCGTGTTTTTTGTTTAATTTTGCATCGAATATTTCCAAAATCCCCCAGCTTAACTTCCCATGGAAACTTTCCGGAAATGTACCGGAAATGTTCCGCCCCTTTGCAACCCTACTAACAAGTGACATGTAATGTAATGGATAACTGTAAACACACCGTCTCATGTTGTGAGATAATGTGGACGAAATCAGAAAGCCTTCATTCGTCCGTCAGCGTCACAGAAGCAAAGGTAGAGTGCAGATTGAAGGAGAATGAACATTTGTTAAAGACATGACTGACAGACTGACATTACTATTCATACATTAATGCCATTACTACGGCTAAAAGTCTATTACATTTATCAGGAGATCATAATAATGTCCTTCACAAAATCTTCAAATTGCAAGAAGACGTCTTCCAATTTCTTGCTTTGTCGAAAGAATCTGCAGAAATGTGGTCTCAAGGGACATAAAACAGATATGTGTCTCGTGTGAGGAAGCTTGTGTGTGTGTTTAGCATATTGGTAAATAATGTTAATTCTCTGTTAATTAAATCAGCTAATTGTTCAGCACGACCCTCCTCTTCCTCCTCCTCTTCCTCCGCCCTTCACTCTCTCTTTAATCCCTTATAATTACTGATGGAGACGGTCCATTTTTTTTCTACAAGAGTCACCTTGGACGACATCCTCTGACCGCATTGAAAAACCCACACACACACTCTGTCTCTACACACACACACACTCTGT